TAGGTGTGGCCTGCTTTGTGGGAGTGGCTTGCCAGCCATGTGATTGGGTGGGAGTGGCCAATTTGTAAAATGTGGTGAAACTCACTTAACAACGCTCTTGCTTAGCAACCAAAATGTTGGCTCAGAAACTCTGGCATTTGAAGCACGCAAGTCTTAAAGCTGTCAAGTTACAAGACCCTTGCACCCCTCACCCTATAGGAAAAAAAAACCCAGGGGTGTTCAAACCTGACAGCTTTAAGACTTGTGGACTTCAACTCCCAGAATTCCTCCTCTCGCTCTTTATCTTTATGATGTATGGATGGGCGGGGAGAGGGAGCTGGAACCGGTTCTAAACAGCGCTGTAGATTTGTGGAACCTCTTCTATAGAAGAGGTTAGAACTGGCAGGAACCCACCCCTGACACAAGTGAAGAACAATCAGTTAAAACTACTGAATTTTAATTACATTTAAATGTAAACAAAATCTAGGGCTGTGATGGCGAACCTATGGCACAGGTGCTAGAAGTGGCACACAGAGCCCTCTCTGTGGGCACGCGCACCGTCACCAGTTGCTCTTCTGGGTTCAGGCGCTCTGGCGCACCCGCTCCAGTTTCGGCAGTCGATGCCGAAAAGGTTAGCAATCTCTGATCTAGGGAATGGAACCTCTCACGTACCACTCAAAAATCACTTTTTGAAATTTCATTTTTGAGAAAGATTCACAGCTCCATATTCAGCAGGGATTAACCAAACTTCTGGTGAGTTGGTTAGTTAAGCAGGTATAAGATGTTAATACACCATGAAGTGGTTTAAATTTAATTCAGGAATGTATTTTAATAATGAAAGACTAAAAACCCAATAAAATTAAACACGAGATCTGTAGGCCAAAAAGAAGCCTGTATCCTTAAAAAAAAAATTAAGGAAAAAAAATTGTTTCAGACCAAGCACAAAAAATAAAAATACAAGTAAAGAATCAATAAAGAAAAAAATTCACAAGATTCAAAGGCTACATGAATAAATATGGCCACTGCCAAATGCAATGCCTACCTTGCATCATTTATCTGCCCTTGACTTTAGAGGTGGTTATTATTATACTTGGATTTCAGTTTCAGGGAAAAATTATATTTTCAGCAGCATTTCATCCATATCTACCAAATCTTTCACCTCATTGTATTTTAGTATACTATAGCCAGAAGTTGCCCATTATTGCATGAACAGATTAAAAATTAATGCAAGTTGGTATTTATATAAATCTTGAAAATACTTCAGGGTGTAATTAAGCTTCATTGGTAACTTACTCTGCAGAACATATCATTTTAGTAATCTAGTGTTGCTCCAAATTCTTAGCTTTATTATGAGGAAAAAATTCTGATGATGACTAAAATAATCCTAAAGCAGAAATAAATTTCCTAATAGCTTTGCAAAAATAACTCTATTTATTCAAACATTTATCTCAGAAATCACAATAACTGTTCACGTAATCCAAACTGTATCATTACACAATGATTCCATTTAAATGTTAGTTTGTCTTTGGATGTTCAGTCCTTAATTTGTGGCATAATGTTGTAGGATGTTGCTGTTATTCCCCCCCCCCCCCAATGATGGGTTTCTGTGCCTTTAATTAGAAGCTACTCATTAGTAAATGTAAACATTTTAGCATGTTTGGTATGGCAGGACAATATCACAGATTGTCCTGCCCCTTATTACATTCCATATTAAAATAATATTTTCCTTGTCATAAATAGAAAACATGAAGGCAAGCAGTAATTTAACTGCTTTTCCCATCAAGGAAATAGATACTGATTCATTTTGATACTGCAAGCACAATATTTGAAGAAAAATAGAAGAACCCTGCGGAGAAGACAATCTAGATTCTAGAAGCATCCTGGCTATGTGGAGAAGAACAGCTGAGTAATTCAAAACCTATCAGAAGTGGTGGGCCATACCAGGTAGAACCTGGTACCAAGATTCCTAGCTGAATCTTGCTGATCTCAAGAAGTTTGTGCAAAATTGGATTTTATTAATATTAGAATGAGAGATCACCAAGAAATCTCAAGACTACAGTTGGGGATTGGGAAAATGAAACACACACACACACACACACACCTAAATAAGACAATCACGACCCACCTACCTTGTAGTCAAAGAAATCACATGTTCATGAAGTTATCAAAAACTCAGCTCAGCTCAAGGGAATGGCCCCGTTACTCTATTCTAAATGTTGCACATACAGCAGAATGCAAGACGGTGCAGAAAAGCTCTCTGTGATGTTCCCACCTACTAGTTTTCATTCAATCTGGGGTAAGGGAATTGCTTTCCAAATTTGATTGAAAAGAAGAGAGCTGGAAGAGATGAAATTCTCATGGTGGAATGGGATACCCTTGCACTTCTTTTAGTGAAGAGGTGGCAAAGGAACGTGCAACTATGCTATCCTTTACTATTTCATCTTCTCAGGAGCAGACAGCACACTACTGGTTCTCACACTGAATCCCAGAGTAAAGCATTATGAAGGAACCACCACTCCCCTTGGGCTTTTTTTAAATTACATTAGGGAGAGTGGAGAGAGAATTCCAAAAAATAAAAAAGAGATTTCTCCAAACACTATTGGCTGGACAATAAAGCAGCTCAAAACACCATCAAGAAAGAACTTTCCAACTACCTGAAATATGAGAAAAATAGAAACCTCTCTTTGAAGCGAGGGAGGGAGCTGGGAACCCCTTTTGATAAATCGCAAGGCATGTTTTGGCACAGCCTTAGCAGAAAGTCTTAAGAGTAAATTATCTGCATTCAAGTATATCTACATAAGGTATATAAACTTCTCTGTGCAACTGACTGTGATTTCCCTTCCTCATATGAATGTATACACATTCAAACAAATGTGGATAAGTTTTCCTTGCAGCTTTCCCTCCGTATCTGAATAATTAAGGAAGAGGATTATAGCTTTGTATGAAAAGTTGTACAGAATCTCTACTAAGTCTCCCTTCAGCCTTTCATCTGAGAGTAAAAAAAGCAAACGCTTAAGAGCTCTAAGTAGCACCGTTGTAAAAGCAGTTTTTAATACCCAGCAGGACAATCCTATGCATGGCTGATCAGCAGTAAGTTTTTGAGCGTAAGAGGTTTCTGCTCAGTTCAGTGCATATTGCTTGCAGTTTAAATTTCTGTTTAGACCTTTTACCATAATTTACAATATTTTTTTAAATCCTGCTTTTATTTACTAACCAGGTGGCTCATTTGAGAGGATCCTTAGCCCACTTCATCTCCAAACTCCTAACTCCGGCCCCGGTTAAGGGCACGATTCATTCCATTTACACCTTTTCTGTGTGCAGTGACTATAATATATGTTGCCTAAGCAGCATGCCGGTATCCTGAGAAAATACATAAATCACGTACTGCTCCAGAATCTCAGTGGCTCTTTTATAGATTCATTTGTCAAGAGGGAAGGAGAAATGTTAAATTGGTAAAGAGGACTTTCCTGGATGGACATTTCATAGTATAATACCAAGAATTTTCCTCCTTGCTTTGGCTTTGTGAGAATTCTCAAGTTTAGGGCTAAACATCTGAGTCACAGGGAAGGTTGCGCTCACTCCTGCTCTTACTCCAGGTCCTCTCCCCTTCCAGCACATCCAGAGAATTACTGTAGGATCTGGGCATGGGATTCCAGGATTGCCGGGGAACTGGTGTGCTGCTGATGGGGGAAGAGATGGCTCCAACTGTTGACAGATTCTGCTGGTTGCGGGTTGCATTCCTGGAATTCATGGTGCTTTTCTTCAGTCTCAACTCTTTGCAGCATTGGCCGAAGCTAATAGTCAGAGTGATGCCTCCGATAATTTCCAGGCAGCTCCCTAAGTATCCAAGAACCAAGCAGTAGGCCACCCGCATAGTAGTAGATGGAGGAGAAGGTAAGACATACAATTCATGATTGTACCATGAAACTGCAATCAAACTCAGCAAGCCGGAAACAAAGAGCACCAGGCCGCCTAGCCCCGCGAGCAAATGGTGGGGCATTTCCTGCCAACATCGCACGCCCAAGGAAGTCACAATCAGCCCCACGACTGTGACTGCCAGAGAAGAGGGCATGAGCCCTCTGGCCACTTGCACTGGCAGCTGGTTAAAGTAACCAAAGGTGTCTTCGATGTTGCATTTGTTTGTGGGGTCACTAATCTGCTCATTGCAAATATCCCAGATCCCTTGGTGCTGAATCACATCTCTTGGCATGTCAGGTAATCCAGTCACATCTCTCCAGCTGGGGGCCAGCGTGCTTGTCAGGTTCAACACAAGGCCACAGGGACCAAGCACAATGCCCACAATCATGGGGGTCGGAGTCCGCATGCTGCTGACCAAACAATCAAGCCCGAGAAGCTGTTACAGGAACCAGAAGAGGTTTCACCTTCTAGGTTGGCCTGCCTAGATAAGATTCTCTGCTAGGCTTCTGTTGGTGATTTCTGCTGAAAAAAGATTCTGGATTAGGGTTCAGGAAATCCGGCCATTCAGGATTCAGGTTCTCCACATACAAGCCCCACATTTACTGCAGAATTCCTTTAACTCCCTACTCTGCCAGAAAGAGAAACTGCAGCAAACCGTTGGGTTACTCTATTTCTCACTTTGCTAAAGCCCAACGCAATTTATGAAACATTTTCTTCATTCTAAATTCTGCCTCCTTTCCCCAGTGCTAAAGAGAACATTTTCCTCCCTCCCCCTGTAATCAGGAGTGGCTCCTGAAATATGGTACATTTTTGTTTCTCTTGAGTCCCTCCCAAGAGTGCCCCCTTCTAAAGTGTACTTTGCAGGGACCCTCCCAACAAGGAAGGTCAATGGCAGCCTAAGGATCTTTTTCTTCCCATTCAAGTTTAAAGATGGTTTGAGGATACCCCTCCTGAAATCCTGAAGCTCCCCCTGACTTGGAATCAGACATCAAAGAGAGCAAACATTTACCGTACCTGTCCACCTGCTCGGTCCTACTGCAGGCACACCTGTGACGTCCATTGTCTTCCCTCCCTCCTGTATGTACCCAGCTAAACGCACTCAACTACTCCGACCGAAACTTCTTTGTATACAGAGAAACTGAATGCTGCTGTCGTCGCGAAACTTGTTCTATGTTGCACTTTATAGGCAAAAGGGGAGGGGAGGAGAAAGAAAACAGAAGTGGAACCAGGAAGGCTTTGTACTAGGTGTTGCCAAGTTGGTGACTTCAGGAAGGTGGGGTTTGCTGGAGAAGAACATCACACCTGCTTCTCTGTGTGCAAGACACGTAGTGATTTTTTAATTCTCCTGAGTAAAGGTCAGCTCTCATTGCTCAGGCTGCACAGACCATCTAAACAATCACCAATCCAAAGCAGCATTGCTTGTGTAAGTATTTTAAAAGATAAGCATGCAGATGGCACTAATGCCCTGAAAGGAAGAGCAGTGAGGGCTGCTTCTGAATCTGCCAAGGGAGAATAATTGTCAAAAGTGGGATGAGGAAAAAGATCAGCATTTTAAGGAACTGATTAAACCATTCCTTTGCCACTTTTTAAGAACCTTTTTGTGCAGTACAGCTTTGGTATATTTTTAATTCCTTCTCACTCTCATTCCCCCTGTCTTGGTTTACCAACTTGCTGGCCAAACAATGTAGCAGGAACTTAAAGAGCAGCTTCCTAAGCAGATGCTGGCAGATACTCAAACGTGTTTCAGCTGTTGATTTCTGCACACTAGACAGGAGTGTGTTTCCTTATGTCTTACCTGGTTGTTTAACAATCTTTGGGAGGCCTTTACATCACGTTGGTTGTTTTTCTCAGTGGCAAGTACATCTAGTTGTATCCCTTGAGTAAATCATTGTTCAAAAAAACCAATTCTGACGCTGGCAAGGAGCCTGGGGTGTTCTCCTGGGAATGTGCTGTAATAAGGGTGGGAGTGGTGGGGGAGGGGAATTGATTGACTATTGGACCGTATTGCCATACTTCAGAGAACAAAGCAAAGGCAGAATGTAGAGACTGGTACAAGGAGATTTAGAAAATCTTTAGAATCTGCATATACCTTCTAGATCAGAGAAAGTTTTCCTTTTTCCCAACATAAACTGGATCACAGCAAAGCCTTTGAGTTGAGCTCAGCCCTTGGTGACTTCAGGAGTCCTACAGGAGACTTTGTGTAGGTTTTTTTGGCAACAGTACAGAGGTGACCTGCCTTTACCTTCTCCCTGGATAGTTTTGACTTTCCCAGTCTAGCCTACAACCCATCATTTCATGGTTCCCATCTACTGTAAATACTAATTGGGTCTGCCCTTGCTTAGGGTCTTTAGATCATGATCTCTATTCATTCTTTTTGCTACAGGAGGGGGCATGTATAAATAAGGATTATTGTGGATAATGTGGCATCTTGACACCAAGCCTTATTTTGCTTCTTAAGTTTCTGCACTGGTCAGCAGAGGGCAGCAACTGCTGATAAATAAACAAGGGTGTGGTTGGGTAGTGAGGGAAGGGACAAGAAATAATTTGGGCCAAGTCTTCGGGCAAGTATAAACACTGCCCCTGCTTTTCTTTTCCATAGCCACAGTGCTGTTCAGTACGGTATTTCTGCCCCTGGAATGTGTACTTGTTGCTAAAGATCAGAGCAACCGATTAGAAACTAGCATGCTTGTGCAGGGAAATTATATTTTTCAAGCAAATACTTGCAATATTGATTTTCTTGGTAAATGCACACCTATTACTCATCACGTCTTCCCTCCTTCTCCAGATATGTATGTGTGTACGTGTGTGTATTTGTGGTGCAATGAATGCACTACAGATTGTAATAGTTCTGCTTATGATTAGATACTTGTCAGGCCCCCAATGCTTTATGTGGAATTTCAGGTGTCTTTGCATGTGTGTATATAGTACTGCCTCTCTTCACTGTAGAAAAAAGCATACATAACATTATGAAAATAGAATTAGAGTCAAAAGCTTATTTTCACAACTCTTCATTTTGACTCCACCACCACCTAGTGATTAAATTGTGTAATGTTTCTGTATCCACATAACCCAACAACTTCCCATTATAGCATGGTTTGCCGACCTTGGCAACTTCAACACCCAGAATTTCCCAGCCAACAATTGCAATTTTATTTATTTATTTATTTATTTTGCTGCCCACCTCACTATCCAAGGTGACGATGGGCTCTAATACGCAAACTCCCCAGCCAGCATATGCAAATGGTATTATCATAAAGAGGTATATGTGCTACTGGAGGTCAATAAAAAAGAGATGACGGCCACTTCACAAGCATATTTCAGTTATGATCAGTCTGTTTCCTTAGGCCCAGTAAAGCCATAGTCTTCTGTTCCTCAGTTTAGAAAGAAAAGCAAAAAGGAGAAAAATAAATTAGAAAATGCACCCACTTTTGTTGTAGAAATGTATCATTGAATTAAAACAAAAACTACAATTCTCGGTTGAGTTCCCTTGTGGGACACTTTCTTAAATAACTGTGTTTTTTCAACCTATTGTGTTTAATTTTTTATTGGCATCGCGGATTGCATTAGCCATCCTGTTTTGACTAAGTCACACATTGTTTGGTTCACCGTCCTAAAGGCTGTGTCTTAAATCATGGTAAATAAATCACTAAACGACAGTGCAAAATGTGACCAGAATCAAAGCCTAAACATGCATTCAAGGAATGCCTTCTGAAACCCTTCAAGAGTATCAAGTAATGGCACACAGCTATATATCAAGTGTTCCTCTTCATGGCTTTTATAGTTTTAAGGAGTATGTTTTCCTACTATCTCCTACAACAGCCAACTGGATGCCCCTGCCTAGGATGCGTCGCCTGTCATATTCTGAGGAAATGCAAAGGCAGCAAAATCAAATAAATAAATACAACTTCAGAAGGCAACATTCAACTTGTGAAAAGTTTCTGATTGGTTTGGTTTCAAATACTCTGCCTCTCTGCCTCGAATTGGAGCATCTCGAACAAGGGGAGAAATCTCTGAGAACTAAAAGGGGTTGAGTCTCAGCATGGCGGCAATTGGTTCATATGTTAATGTTTTATTATGCGATGGTCAGTGCAACCTTGTCTTCTAGACTTGCTTTTCATTATTGCTCTGGGAGAAAGAGAAGGGAAACAACTGGATCACTTACTCATTACTTTGGATATTTCACATTGTGAACCAAATGTGACCCAAGAGAAAAACCAACACTTATTAACAATCAAAGGATGGGTTTACAGAACTCCTTGTCTTGCTGGGAGGTTTCTGGGAAAACTGTATCAATTATACAACATTAATTTTAAAAAAATACTTGGCTTCTAAAATTGATACAAATCACACAGGTCCACTTTTTTTTATATAGAATTTGGGTCATTTTAGTGCAGAATATCTATTGTCCAGATGCAGCAAATATCCACACAGAAATATCTTTCTAAATCTGCTCTCATATTTGGAGGTTTTGGTCTGCTTTTTAAAAAAATTTCTCCAGAAGTGAAGCCTTGGTTCATGAACATCTTCGTTCTTCTGCAACTCTGAAATTTAAAGGATGAATTGAAAATGGCAATTCAAGTTTAATAGGTATTAATGCCAAGAGAATCTATGAGGATGCTCAAACATGATCTGACAGTTATCCTATGTTGGATTAAGACCATAATTCTTTTTGTCATTTATTCAGTGAAACATTTTTGGTAGGCTGCAGCAAAACCCCTATGGCTTGTTGATGGTATTCATGAAATTAAATGTTCAGTGGTTACCAGCAATATCATTCAAATTATTTATTTCTGGTCCCAAGAAACTTGAGTGGGAATCAAGCCAAGATAATTTGTGTTTGCAATCATGGAATTAATTTGAAGATGGATAGAAGGAAGGGAATGAATGTTGAGTGTCTTGATCTTGATTGATTAAAGCAGGGGGTTGACTAGAACATTTCCAAAGTCCTTTCCAAATCTGTTATTCTGATTCCCTAGGCTCAGGGGAACCATGCATCTTCTGGCCATTGAGGAAAAGATCAGTAACAGCTCCTTTTTAGCCTGAGTCTGTGAACCCCCTTCCCTATTTATGACATTTTATGGCTGTCCAGCTAGAAGCAAGGGGATATGATCTGGGGGTGGGGTGGGGAGTAGTTCCAATTCATTTTGAGTTTTATATTCAGATCAGATAACAGCTGATCAAAGAGTTATAAGGTTATACAAGTAACCTTCTCTCCAAGTATGGCAACCAAATTAGCTTATCAGTTCTTATGAAATCTTCCTTTCTCTTTCTCTCCCTCTCTCTTTTCTGGCTTTCCACTTTTCAAAGTCTAGGAATCCAAATGCTCATGTTCAACGTCATCACCCCCTTTAATTATTGGCAGTGGCAATATTTTGAAACTCTGCAAAGTCTTGGAGTTCTTGGAATCTTGCAAATCTCGGAATTCTTTCCCAAGGCAACAATACACACACATGAACACACACATGCACACACACATGCACACACACACACACACACGTTTCTTAGATATGGCTTCATTTCTGTTATCATGTACTGACCAACAGTTCCAATTTGGCCACGACTGAGTCATTTTTTTCAAGATGCAGATCTGATGCAAAAGCATGTCTTGATCAATCCTAAAACTACAGCCATCTTCTCTTTGCTATGGTGAGATACACAGACACCCTTTTAAAAGAAAAACAAAACAAAACTTAGTTTTCCCTTTTAAATCACAATACAAAGAGGAAAATCAGCCATTTGGTTTGAATGGCCCATGCAGTTGATTCCCCCTCCCTCCCTCCCTCCCTCCCTCCCTCCCTCTCTCTCTCTTTCCCTCTCTCTCTCTCTTTCCCCTCTCTCTGAAACATTGGGGGAAATGATTGGCTGAGAAATGGTTTGCCCTGCAGGACAGTGGGAGTGGCCATGACATAAGAGCCAAGGCAGCTCTGAGTTCTAATCCTTTTAGGCATGAAAGCCGGATGGGTAGCTTTGACTCAGTCACTCTCTCTCAGCCCAGTGCACCTCACAGGATTGTTGTGGAGAAAATAGGAGGGGGAAGCGCAGGTAGCCCTCACCTCACCACCACAATTGAGCCCAAAATTTGTATTTTTAAGTGAGACATTTGTTAAGTGAAATTTGC